TCAAAACAGATAAAGTGTGTCTGAGTCTTATTTCAGCACTCTCTAAATAACAAACAATATTTTCATTGAAGTGACTGTTCCAAACATGTCAGTAAGATAAATCACTAGATAATGGATTTTCTATTCTAGTTGATATTAAATTATAATTATCCTAAAATAATTCTTAAAAGACTCAAAATGCAACTAATGATGTTAAAAAAATTTCAGCCCCTTCAACATAATGAAAATATGTATATGGGAATGTATTCTAAGTTTCAAAATATTTTCTTTAACTCTTTCAGTTACATCATCACCAACGACATCGGTATGTGTTCATGAAGTCTGTCAGTGGTCAGAATGGTATGATGGAAGTTCACTAATACCTGGATTTGACGGTGGAGATTTTGAAACATTCAGTGATTTGAGAGCTAAAGGTTATGAAGTCTGTAGAGCTCCAAAGGCAGTTCAATGCAGGGCAGAGAAATTTCCTAACATACCACTGAAGGACCTTGGCCAAAGTGTAGAATGTAATACAAAAGATGGGCTTATATGTTACAACAAAGATCAAATTTCAACTATGTGCTACAATTACGAAATCAGAATCTTATGTTGTGTTTTTGTACCATGCTCTTCCACTCCATCCATCACAACACATACCCCAGTTCCAGAAATGACAACCACAACATCAAGTATGATTACCACAACTTCATCTACAACCACAGAAACAGGAACTACTTCTGTCACAAGCACTTCAGAAACAGCAAGTACCTCCCCAGAAACAATCACTACAACACCTTGCCAACCAAAGTGCAAATGGTCCCAATGGTATGATGTCCATTTCCCAACACTGCACAACAAAGGAGATTATGAAACTTATCAGGACATTAGATCTGCTGGAAAAGCAATCTGCAGAAACCCTGAAAAAATACAATGCAGAGCAGAGAAATACCCACATAAATCTATTGAAGAAATAGGCCAGGTTGTCCACTGCAATGTAACATATGGACTTATCTGCAGAAATGAAGATCAAAAAGGAGAACTGCATATCTGTCTTAATTATCAAGTAAAAGTATTCTGTTGTGATGACTACAGCCACTGCCAATCAAGCGTGACACCTACGGTACTAGAGGAAATTACTACCACCACTACACAAACACCAGCTACTACAACCTCAGAAATTTCAACAACTGCAACTAAAACAACATCACTAGTCACCGTATCTCCTTCAACAGCAGCAATCTGTGTAAAAGAAGTATGTGACTGGTCAATTTGGTATGATGCCAGCTATCCAGAATCAGGATACGATGATGGAGACTTTGATACAATTCAGAATATAAGAAAACAGGGATATAAAGTCTGTCCTAACAGAAAGGCTGTTGAATGCAGAGCGGTAAGATTCCCTGATACACCATATCAACTCCTGGAACAACATATTACATGCAACACTGAAGAAGGTTTAATATGCTATAATAAAGACCAGCTACCACCGATCTGCTACAACTACGAAGTAAGATTTAAATGCTGTGAAAACATAACAATACCATGCCAAACAACACAAACACCATATTCAACTACAGAAACACAAACAACAACTACAATTTCAACAACAACAATGACACCATACACAGAAATATCAACAACACAATACACACCACAGATACAAACAAAACATAAGACAACCACTACAGAAACAATACCACCAAGAACAGAAAATATTCACAGCGAAACCACATCAACACCAAAGCAAAGCACACAGACAGAAACACGGACAACAAAGAAAACAACCGTACCAACAGTAACAACCCCCACCACCACAGCTACAACCTCCACAACAATGGAACTCAGCACGAGCTCAACCATCAGCACCCTCTCGCCCACCCCTACTCTCATCTCCTCTACCAGCTCCCCCTCCACCACGCAATACACCACCTCCTGCGAACCTGAACTCTGCTCCTGGACGGACTGGTTTGACGTTGACTTCCCCTCC